TGGACTTGTTTAACTAAACCGCTGGAAATAAACTTGTGTCCAACCGATGAACTTGATTCGATAATAACAGGAAGCGATGAATCTATAATTGAATGGTCCGAACGGCGTTAATTGGATCGATAGGTATATTCGAATTAGGGAAATAGAGCAATTGAATAACTAATTTTCTATAGCAATAAAAACATCTCTTGTGCTAGTGGTGTAAAACTAGATACTAACTAGATCGTTTGATATGGTTCGATATTTCATTTTATTGGCCTTTCTTTATGAGCAATGTCCGTTGACGTTTAAAGCGTTTCTTTATAAATGATGCCCATTTTTCCAAAGTTTTTTTGATTGTTGCAATGGTTGCCCTTCCAAAAGTTTGGTAATATTCTCAGGTTCGATGTATTAAATTCTTTTTGCCATTTTCTTTCGGTGTAGTACTTTTCGTACTTTCCCCCCAGGGTACTCAGGTAAAATGGGATTAAGAACAGGTAAAAATCCATAGATTTTTCTTCCACTCATAATAATCGCATTAATAGCCAAACTTAGTAAACCCGAGTGTTCTCGATTGTTCACGAGTCTGTTCGAATGTTTTAGAACAAAACAGGCCATATTTCCGGGAAAGGTTACGCCACATTAGGACTATTGAATATGAGCCAAACCCTCGCTATCTTGATGCCACGACTTCCTAAATCCATTAAGAAAAACAATGCTGTCTTGAACTGAAGAACACAAGTTCTAACTCCACACAACGACCTTTCGAACAAAATACAAATGCAAATTTAGGACTACTGTTACGGAGTAAGTCAAAATACTATCCACTAGGACTAGGGGATGACGTGTAATTTTTTCCACTAAAGTGAAACGAATAATGAATTCTCTATTGAACGGTTTTGGATAAAGGCATAGTATAATCATTAAAGTTTAATAGTAACATTTAACAAGACGGTACAATGCTTTTTCGGTGATTGTTTTCAATGCGCAAAAGAAAATGATCAGGCGAGTTGCTGGAGTTCCAAATTTTCACTCAATGGAGATTATTAACATGTGAAATGTGCGTTTATGTTCACAAACATACAGATGGTTTCCCTTTAAACTAGGATAAACACAATTATAAAACAAGAGCTAGTCAGGATATACACATTCCGACATGTAAGTACAAAATTTCACAACTTCCTTCCATTGTGTTAGGTCCGCGTTCATACAACAATTTACCTCGAGGTTTTAAAAAATTGAATTCATGCAATTGCGCCCTTTGTAGCAGACTAATAGTATTACACACGAGTAGAAAAAAGTCGATCGTTTTGGGGATTCAGGATAGCAATTTATATTTAAAGTCAATTTAACATTCCTGAAGAAGTCGCCCCACAGGAGTTTATTCCATGAACTGATTGCAGATATTTTATGAATGAGAAGTGTACCTAAACCAAAGATTTTGGTGAGTATTTTTTTAATCTTCAAGGCAAATCCGGGCTTTGTTTTAGTCTTGATGAATAATAAAGTTATATTTACTGAATTTATATGTCCTTATGCCCTATGCAAGTTGTCTAAAACCCCATCGCTTCAGCTTCACGGGACATGTAGCCACTATTCTCGGTTATACCTACACGGAAATTTTCGACAGCAAATATTTCTTATGAATTTTTCAGTACGTATTGTAGTATTTCATGCCGTCCTTCTCGCAATCCCTTCAAGGTGGTTAAAATATAGTAAGAAACGTTTTACAATCAATGAAGGTATCAATTTAAATTGTATTGCATGCCAGTTTACAGCTGGGAGCGGCAAAGTAAGTAATCTTGAACATCTGCGTTGCGTTAAAATTTTCATACAAATAGCACAGAGCCATTTTGAACCTTAACAAGATTCGTATATGCAATTTCAAAAAGAATTACAAAAAAGTTGAGGCAGGTACACGGCGGAAAATTCATTCCGCCTTAATAACCACGCTAAAATCTAGGGCTCCCCTTTGAATTCTCCGTTTTCATTTACTATTCTACTTTATTACTGCAAACTTTTTTTCCGCAGATATTAACATAAATATTTATACCTTAACTTGACTACCAGAAAAATAGACGTTTGAGAAAAGCGCAGTTTACGTAAGTCGATAAGAAATGAAGCCGAGCTCCCTTTATTGAGTAATAAAATATTACGGAACTAACTAGAATATAAATATGGTACTTATAGGTCCCTTAATCCGACATAAAACCTCAAAGTCAACAAGTACTTTACGAGGGAATTGTAATAATGGCAATAACGCTGACTCAGTTACGTAAAGGAACGTAATACATAAAATATTATTGCGGCAGCGTGAGGACTAATTTCGTTCTTGAAATATTATAGATTTAGCGACAGCTACTCCTGCACGCGAAATTGACGGCGGAAATATTTATGGGGAAATTTAATTTGATTGATGTATCGAAAACGGTTACAAATCAAATCAAATTTAGTCTCACAATGGGTTTACTTTAAAATGGAAATCGATCGACGAGATTTTGCCATAATAGCGTTCCCGTTAATTAGATCAGACTTTACTTGACGATCATCTATATAGAGAATTGGTTGGGTTCGTGATTTACCTCTGTAATGGAATGGTGGCTGTAAACTTTCTATTAACACACGAGTTGTTAATTGCTAACGTCTTCATTGAAATTTATCCGAATTTCTAATTAAACCTTGTGAGAATGAAACTTCATTAATTGATACGGTAGAACACGTCATGCAATTTTCCAACTAAATTACGTCAACTTCCGTTTACTGCACTAGTTTGTGTATTTCCGCTTATTTTTTCAAGTATTAAGGTT